TTAATTCTATCTGGGCATTCCTAGAAAGCTTCTCAAAGGACATGGCATTTGTGATGTGTCTTGAAGGTTGAGTAGGATGTTTTCAGGCAGAGAAGAGAGGAAGCAAGGCCTTTCAGGTGGAAGGGTTTTACTGCACCAGAGCAGAGTCCTGGGGCTTGGTGAGCACATTCACTGAGCATGGGTGAGGGGAGGGCTTGAATTCCATGCTTAAGTGTTGGGGTATTTTTCTTTTTGATAAGTAGAGGGAAATTGTGAAAGATTTTAAAATAGATTAATAAGATCCCATGTACTTAATCTCTTTCCTTCTCTCCCTTTCTCTTTCCCTTTCTTTCCCCTCCTCCTTCTCCTTTGCTTTTCCTTCTCCATTCATTCATTGATCTTTCTTTTTTGAGATACCTGAAAATGATGTAGAGTGCACTGGAAAGCAGGAAAAGTGGGAGCTGGGAAGAGCATTTTGGATACTTTTCAAATCAAGTAGCAGGGCCTCAGCTGAGGGACTGAAAACCATGTTCTCATAATAGACAGGTGCAAACGGAGGGGTTTTCCATATGGCAGTGTCATTCATTTCACTTAGCTTCTTCAGAGTTACTTGGCAAAAATCGAATCATGCTCTCTTCAAAAACCATGTTTTATGATGTGTCAGTTTATAACTCCATTAATGCTTTAAATTTTGTTAAAAGCAAAGGAATAGGAGCCATTTGACTTCCCAAAGAGTCGGGTTAGTCAGTGGAGTAATTTTCATTCTTAACACCGGCAGCATTTTTGAATGGTACCTTTGGCACCCTAAAGTATTTTGTGCTTTAAGTGTGCACCAAGGTGCTTTAGTTAAGTAGAACAGAGAGGAACTGAGAATGTTGATAACTGGTGCTTGATTGAAGGCATCATCTTGAACCCATTGGATCTAGGAAGCTGAAGGGAGTTGAAAATAAGAATCTGTAAAAGATTCACCGATGGTACTGCTTGGAAAATCTCCATGGGCTGCTAGATATATATATATATTCCAGTGTAAAGACTGCTGCATGCAGAGAAATACTTGGATTTGAGGATTTAGGAGGGCAAGTCAGCAGGATTTAGAATGTGAGAGGAGTTAACGGAAAGGCAAGATCACTCAGTTTTTCCTAGCTTGTGTAAAAACTCAGGAAGTAGTAAGAGAAATAGAAGATACTATTGTGGAAGTTGTCAAAGTAGGGAATCAAAGATAGTCATCATTTCCAAATGTTGCAGGAAGGTCAGTAAAGAAAATAACTACTGGTGGCAAGAGCCTGGCTATGGTGGTGCACTTTGCGTGCTGAGATTACAAAACAGAACAGAACAGAACAGAAAAAAACAAAATAAAACAGAACAACCCCCACAATAGGAAGAGAAGATAGATCTCAAAATTAGGCAGTTTTTCAGTGGTCACTTTTGAATTAACAGTTTTGTTAGCATGGTGGGGGGTGGGATAGGAGGAATATGTCTACATTAAAGATTATTTTCATAAAAAGAGTCTCCCCAAATAGGTTCTAACATGTCTCTTAATTCAGATTACATTGTTCAGTAGTTTAACAGACTCTTCATTGATAATGTCAGAGTTAACTTTGTTCTGCCTTAGGGCAGGTTATTTAGAAATTCCAAATGATACTAAGTGCCTTTTTTCTGACTTAGGATAAACTTTTAATTGTCCATGAAAATCTCTATTTACTTTTTTTTTTTTTTTTTTTTCTGGTATTGGGATCGAACCCAGGACCTTGTGCTTGAGAGGCAGGCACGGTGCCACTGAGCTAGATTCCCAGCCCAAAAATCTCAATCCATAACATGTGGCCTAATACAAAGATTCTATTGAAATAGATAATCCTTGCAACATTTTGGGTTTTTTTGGTCCTTGCCTCCAGTTCAAGGTACTTAATTGATAGGGGGTGTGTACAGGCTTGATGGTCATTCTTTAGCTCATACCAGTCACTTCTGTGTAACATTTTCGTCTTGTACTTTCCTACACTGTCATTACTTTAGTATTGCCTCAGTATTTTTCCAGAGCACATTTAAGTTATATTACTGACTCAGCAGTTGAATAATCTAGAATATAGGTTTTAATTAGATGTATCCACAATGTTAGACTTGACATTTGGTATTGTGGAGATCTACAGAGGTGAGTTGGCAGTGGGTTCTTACCTCCTGGATGTGCAGTGTGGAGAGGTTTTGTGTTTAGATTACTGCTCCTTGTTTCAACTTAGATATTTTATGAGAGGATAATTGAGTCCTTTTAGTAATCCCAGATCACCATTGTATGGTACCATCTTTCTTTGTTTACATTTAACTCTGAAGCATACTTTATGTAAAATTATAGGATTAAAATGAAAAAGAAGAATTTAAGTTTCTCTCAGACCTTCATAAAATATTGTCAGAATGCCTTCAGTTGAAATGCCAAATTTGAACATTATTCTTTGAAATTTAGAATGTATTTTCACAGCAGAAACATTGAGATCAGCAGTGTAGGCACCATTAGTCCTTTTCTGTTTGAATCATAAGCACATGGAAACTAAATGTTTAACATTTTCTTACAAGCTTTTTTTTCACAAGTGCTTTTTAAATTCCTTATGTGATGTGATAGTGTCATAATATACATAATTGAAAAATATTTCTTAGACTTTCTGCATTACTGCCAAAACTCTTTCAAGACTAAAGTATGATATATTTTACATTTCTTTTCTTTTTTTTTTCCGGTACCAGGGATATATTTTACATTTCTTAACATCAGCATCAGTATTTTGAATATTGATATGCGTGTGTGTGTGTGTATTTAATATATACACCTATGGAATTATTTGGATAAAAGTCTTTTGCACTCAAGTCTACTTTTCTTTTGATGAATAGCTTTGTAGTGAAAAAGTAAATGAAGTAAACTACTTGTATACAGCTTTCCGTGGAGTAGAGGGAATTATCAATTTGTCTGTCTGTCTCCCTACTGCAGTACTGGGAATTGAACCCACAGGCACTTTACCGCTAAGCCACATCCTCAGCTTTTTATTTTTCTTTTCGTTTTGAGACAGGGTCTCACTAAGTTGTCAGGCTGGCTTCAAACTTATGTTACTCCTGCCTCAGCCTCCTGAGTGAGTGAGAAGTACAGGCACACACCATCACACCTGGAAAAGCACATTTTTAATTGAAAAAAAGTTAATTTCAAAAGTGATTACTAATTTTGACAACTACACCACTATAAACATTTGAGTCTTTGGAATGATCTTTTTTTTTTGGTACTGGGGATCGAAGTCGGGACCTTGTGCTTGCGAGGCAGGCTGCGGAACCACTGAGCTAAATCCCTGGCCCTGGAATGATCTTTAATGTGAATACTAATTCAATTTCATTTTACAGGATAAAATGGATGAACATAGAACTTAAAGACTTTATCCATTTTTACTGATCTTTGTTGTGGCAGCCTTTATTCTTCACAATTACTTTTCAGTAGGTTTGCATTTCTACAAGTTATCTTTTCTTTAAAAATGCTAGAAAACAGACTGTCGATGCTGAACACTATTAACTTGTACTCTCTTAGATTTGAACTTGTGTCATATAATTACATTTGTGTTGGGTGCTTGGTTATATTTTGAGAAATACAGACAACTCTTTAAAACTAGGCCTTTATTTATTTATTTATTTATTTATTTCGTACTGGGGATTGAACGCAGGACCTTGCACTTTCGAGACAGGCGGCACCACCACTGAGCTAAATCTGCGGCCCCTAGGCCTCTTTTAAAGATACCAGGGTTCCCTTAATGTATCATGATAATAGAAGATATCCACAGATTAAGGAAGTTATTTAGTTCTTACTAAAGCAGGCCAGATATACGTATTTTCTTTACCTAGAGCAAGTTGCATTATATCAAAAGTCCCTATTGTAGTTTATGTTTCTCATTTATTTGTGAAAAACAGGTTCAGATAGAGACAGTTTATGCTTCTCATAACAATTAAAGGAAGAGATTTGTTTTTTTTTTTTTTTTTTTGGTACCAGGGATCGAACTCGGGTCCTCGCGCTTACACAGCAGGCAGCGAAACCACTGAGCTAAATCCCCGGCCCAATGGATAAGATTTTTTTGAGTGAAGTTCTGAGTGAAATTAGAAAAGGTACAAGGGGTAAACAAGTTGGAACAAAAGATAACTTTTTTTTTTTTTCCAAAGTTAACTCTTCAGATTGATTTGAGTAAACTATAAAGTATCCCAAGTTAAGGCACATGTCATGTTTGGAGCCAGGGACTATCTGAGATAACGATTGAAAGGGCCCAGTTACCACTGAGCAGTGAAAAGGACAGGAGAGTTTACAGGTATCTTGTTCTCTTAGGACTTTTATACTGTTATTGTGGATCTGTTAAGTTGGTGATATAGTACAGTATGAGTTTGAAATAATATATGTCATGGACCTCCATTATTCATGCATAACCTGTGGGAATTCTGCCATCATTCTACCAGTGAACAGGCATGGACTACAGAAAGGAACATAAATTGGCTATTTCCTTAGTCTGTCTCATTTTTCGCTTGTCTCTCATGATGGATCTTGCTGCACTGTTTTATATATATATATATATATTTTTTTTTTTTTTTTTTTTTTTGGTACCAGGGATCGAACTCAGGTTCTTGCGCTTGCGCAGCAGGCGGCAAAACCACTGAGCTAAATCCCCGGCCCTCCACTGTTATTTTAATGTTTAAAGATATACATATTTTTACACAATGTGGTGCTTCAGCACAAGCTCAAATGAAGAGAAATCATTTTTCATGATTCTGAGATTGTATCTGTCTTCAGTGTTCAACTTCTCTCCTTATAGACATTGAAGGGTAAGTTTGTGGTGTGGATGTTCCTCCTCCCCCATTTGCACTCACTTTAGAATCAAATTTTTGTAGAAAATGTAATTCCATTGTATAGGACTGGTTATTAGAAAAAATACATAGAAGTCGCTTTGAGTGCTTATTTGTTTCTCTTTCTAGGAATATAGTATTCTCTTTCACATCCGTTTTTTTTTTCTTCTCCCTAGTTGTGGCAATTTATGATTATACAAAAGACAAGGAAGATGAGCTGTCCTTTCAGGAAGGAGCCATTATTTATGTCATCAAGAAGAATGACGACGGTTGGTATGAGGGAGTTATGAATGGAGTGACTGGGCTCTTTCCTGGGAATTATGTTGAATCTATCATGCATTATTCTGAGTAAAGCTCAGCAGGGCTGCACTTTCCTCACAGAAACAGTCAGGTCTTCCCAGACTATTTGAAGGCCCTGGGGATTTCCCTTCAGTGAAGTAGAATGAAGGATACAAATGATAAAAACTACTTATTTTTTTGGTTTATCCTCCAGTATTAAAACAAAAACAAGAAAGCAAGCCAAGTCTGAACACATGGATCTTTCTGTCATTTGTACTATGCTGAGCTGTCTGGATTGAAATAAAGTGACCATTTCTGAGTATGTCAGAGGAATAGCAACATAACTATGTAGCTAAAGTAAATCAGATTAAGACTGATCCAGGAAAAAACCCAGGATCTTTCTCAGGAATACTGTACATCCTTGGGATTTCCCTTCCTGCAAAATCTGTGGCAGTGAGCCCTCCACATTGCCTATGCTATGGGGTTAACCTCATGGTCCAGTGGGTACCCTAGCCTCTCAATTTCTTCCACTTGTATAAAGAGGAAGGAACGGACATTTAAATACCATACTTAACTATTTTTAGAATTGTTTCAGATGGCTCTTTTTCTCTTTAACACTGTAAATTCTGCATTCTCTCAGTACTTGAGTGTGCCAGATGAGTAAATGCTGAACTCGCTTGCATCTGATCATGTATCTGTTTGTAGATATAGGATGATGAAGTGTGAATCTCCAAACATTCTGAGTGTGGTTAACAGCGGCCATGGTTTGATTTTGATGGGCTGCTGCATGAGACTGCCTTGCGCTCATGGTCATTGTACCAGCTGTGAAATGTGGTAGGCCAGCTTGTGTGCAGAGTTGGTGTGTGAAGCTAGACGTGAAGGTTCCTAAGACTCTGAGGGAGTAAAACAAGAATATGTCCCTCAGCAGGCCTGCTGAATCCTTGCCTTCAGTGCTGCTTCAAGGAGTAGTTCTTGGAGGTCAGACCAGCTGTTACTTCTTTTGCTTTTTAGAAAAACTCTAGTTTTTGTTTTGAAAGAATAGCAGTTATTTTCAAGTCTCTTGACAGTCACTGGGATTACAAGGCTGCTAATGTGCTCTCTGAATGTTAGAAATGGCCAGTGTTAGCTGCTGCTGACTCACATCTCATTGAGCTTTAGGAAAGGTAAATACTTGCCTGATTTTGCCTGAACTCTACAGTAGCTGCTCTTAGTAAGAATTTGAACCTTATATCTCAGAATAAGACTATTATGGAATAAGATTAATATGCCAAAATATCCATTTACATTGATAAAATCAAAAGAACTTTGAGAGAAACAAACAGTAAGCACCCACCTCTGTACATGACAGCTTCAACTCAGTGGAATTTGTAGGTCCAGTGGTTTTAATCATTACCTTTGTAATCAATATTAAATACTGAAAAACATCCAGGAGGTGGTAGGTGCTCAGTAGGTGAATATGGTGACAGTGGGCCAGCCCTGGGGCATGTCCAGAGCTGCCAGTGTGGCTTCTTAGTCCAACAACTTGGCCAAAATAGTGTCACCACGTAACCTCCCTGTGCTTGTGAAAGGGGAGAGGCAATAGCTGCATATGTTTCAAATGGAGGCCTTTAGCTTTATGGTAGCATAGCTAGAAGTTGCTTGGAAAAGGAATGTGTGTAGTAGTGTGTGAAGAAATGCAGACAGTATAGGCAGAAGTTCATATTCCACTTGTGGATGTTACCAAAGCATAAAACTTGATCACCATTTAACTGAGACCCACCCATAGAGTTTGCTTATCAAGACTTTTGTTTTAAACTTGTAGTTTAAAAAAAAACCAAACCATTATAAGTTAGCAGGTTTGCTTTTAAGATAATGGCCCTCAATGTTCTCTGAGCCTTTAACCCCATTTAACCCAAATCAGACTATACTTGGATAGGTTAAAATTTTCTTGTTGAAAATAATGATTTAAGTAGCTTTTGGCTGAGGAAGTGTAGTGCATTAATAGGCAGAGGGTGTTTCAGAACCCAATAACTCCAGTAGATCACTACCACCAGAGAGCAGTGACAGCGGCAGAAAGCAGAGCTGGTGGCCCCACTGGATGTGCATCTGTTGGACCCTTGCTAAATCGGAATGCATGGAAGACACTGGTGAAGATCTGATGCTGAAGACCTGCAGTAGAGGATCCATGGGTCAGCTGATTTTTTCCTATATTATTTAGTACCAATGTGTGTGATTTGGGCGGGGGGGCATATTTTAAATTTTTAATAGTTTTGAATTCTGTAGATTGTCTCGGAAGGATATTATAATTATGAGCCAGGCCTACCATAATTGGAGACTTTAATGTATGTAATATCATATAGATTGCATGCTATTAATAGTCTGTGAGGGTAGTATTTCCTGTTTCACTGTAAGTTTCTCCCATTTATCCTCTTATAAGCTAAAAGATGGTATTAGGAATTTCAGATGAATTCAGATCTTAAATGCTTCAAAGATGTATTAATACTGTAGCAAAGATGATCTGAGATTAAAATCTGCTGACCATTAAGCCACCATTTTACCAGGACAGAGGGAGTTTAATGAAAGGCTGTTCTTCCTTCTGGAAGTTTTTGACTCTGTGGCCACTTTTTTTTCCCCCTTAAAAAAAAAGTGGAGTGACTATCCCATTTTGGTATTAATATTTGAAAGTTTATGGGAATATGAATTGAAAATACACTTTCTTGTTGTGTTTGGCCATGGCCAAGGTAGTAAATTGGAAACAAAATCAGTGCCAGTGTTTCAAAAGTCTAGACCTGAGAGATTCAGCATACTGTTTGGAATAAATATGAATCTTTGAAAATGTCTCTTCAGTATTTTCCATCTTTTGGCCACTTCCTTATCTTCCTCAGAGATACCTTCTACTCCCATCTCGGGGTTGGAAAGAGATTGCTAATTTTGCTGTGTTCCTAACTCACTAGATGACATTTTCATCTCCCTTTTCCCTTCCTGGTACTGCTACTCTTTATAGCCCAGCTAGAGAAAATGTTTTATGCATCTTCAGTGATACCTGTAATGTAGCTGTGCTCCTTAGCAGTTTTATGATGTTGATTCAAGTTTAAGATTTTTCTCTTTGGGAGGCATAAAAGCAATGGTCATTTGCCTTTATCTTTATGTTTTAGCAGGTGACCTTTCTGCATTAGGCACTGTTCTTTTACCTTGAATTACCTTTTCTCAAGGGGAAAGCATGGAATGACTTGAAGGCCACCTTTACCTCTGAAAAGGGTTAAGGGAAGAATTGGCAGGTGACTGCTATGTCTTTAGAAAGAATGGGCATCTATTCACTTTTGAACTTCCCTGGTCCCTGATTGTTAGGGTGATAATTTTCCCCACATGCCTTAGGTAAAATCATAGAACTTGAGACCTAGATGAGCTTTTAAGATTTTTGGTTTAGTCTCATTTGACTGATGAGGTTACTTTGTTTCGATGAACATTTAGTTGAAAATATCAGAGTTCCTGATTCAATGCCCAGTATTCTTTCCACTGCACCACAACTGTCTTAATTAAATGTGCTATTTTTTTCTTTAAAAATTAGTTTTACTTGATGTTTTTAAGAATATACTTGAAAAGACATGCCATAGTTTGGTAAGTAACCATCAGAGTATTCAGACTAAAGAAGTACATTGTGTAACTTTAATTAGTGCAAATAATCTTCATTTACCCCTCCTAAAACTACACTCCATATGAACTTTTCCGTAAAGGTGTAGCAAAAAAATCCATTACCATAGTTCAACATTGGTAGGAGCACAGCATAGTAAACAGCCTTATTTAAGAGAGTCTTATAAAAACAAGTTACTAAATAGAGGCATTGAGCTCATTACCTTTAAATTTATGCTGAATTGTTTTATTGAGAATCTGTATTAAATTATGAATGAAATGACAGGGCCTAGCTATGTATAAATGATCCTTGCTAAATATGTTAAGGGTTTTTGTAAACAAAAAAGAAGTTTATTTTCACATTAAAATGAAACCTCTTTTGCAACTTCAGAATTCTATGGAAAAGCAGTTTTTATCATATTTTGTGTCCATGTACCTTTTTTCTTAAGAAAGTGGTTTACAAAAAAGAATGTAAACAATTTGCAATCTGGCCAGTTATACTTTTTAGCTCCCAGAGAGGGAGAGTTGGTGATGTTGAGTAAAAACCATTCAGGAAACTTGGGGAGCAGTCTGTTGCCAGTCATGTTTGTGTGTGCCATTAAACCACCTCCACACAAGTGGGGGAACATTCACTTTTTAATTTTTTAATTGTATTTGGAATTAATTATTGCTGTGTACTAAGAACTTGACCTAAATAAAATCACACAAAGCATATTTAAATGTCTTGTGAAATTTATATAGGTAACCTCAATTTTTTTCATTTTAAGGTAGTATCTAAGTGTAAGGATTGAAGATAACCCCTGATTTTCCTGTTCCTCAAAACTAGGGAGCTGCTTTTTATTTTCAATGACTTGACTTTTCCACGTCATTACATAATGTGGAACAGGAAGTAGAAATTGTAGAGTGCCTAAGGCATTTACTTATATTTTAAAGGAGTGTTTTGGAAAGCATGAGTACAGTCTTGTCTCCAAAGATGTCTATTTTCCAGTTTTCTGTTACATATCCTATTACTGGATTCCTTCTAGGTTACTGCGGAGTCAAGATTTGGTTGAAATACTGTGTGGATCTGGGGGTGGGTGGTATGCCATTGTTTGTCTTGTCTGTGTATTAACCATGCTGTGTATATTCTTCCTCCGAAACCACAAGTACAGGGAGGGCAGTTTCCACAACCAATGTGATTGATAGTTGGTGTATGGGTGGTGGTGATCGTATTCTCATTCTTTGTCCTATTTTGGTAAATGATAGGTAAACACACAAGCATGTGTATATACACCTTGACACAGCAGTCCAACACATAATAGTGATTCCAGAGCTTTCAAACACAAAATAGCCCTCCTGTTTGTATTTGGTTGTACTTTATTTAAGGTTAAAAAAAAAACACAAACCCTTAAAAAGCCATTACCTTTTAAAATGTATTTAATGGCCAAAGCTCCCCAGTCTGTTACAGATTAAAGGTAACAAATTGAACACATCAAACCATAGTTTATTCATCTTCACACTTAATTTGTTTTTACCGAACAGGCTATTTTTTGGTACCCCAAAATAAAAAGCAAAACCAGGGGGCCAGGGATTTAGTTCAGTGGCACTGTGCCTGCCTTGCCAAGTGCAAGGTCCTGAGTTGGATCCCTGGTACCAAAAAAAAAAAAAGCAAAACCAGGTTCTTAGTGGTGCCCATCCACAAACAAAGTGCCCCTGCTGAAATGTTGTTTTTGTTTTTTAAATTCAGGATTGTGTAGGCTGACATAATGAAAACATACTGGAAAAACAAATTTACACTGACTATATGACTGCTGTCCAAAGCCATTACAATAGTTTACTGACAATAACTGGTAAAGAGTAAGTTGGAAAATAACTTAAACCAGCAGTAGAACAAAAACACCATCAGTAGTACTGAATATATCTCTCTCATATATATATATTTGTGATAAATGTATTCTATATATAGCTTTGCGCAATCTGGGAGCAAGGCACATAATGAAATGAGCATACATTTAAGGAGAAGCAGTAGCAAAGCTAAAAGGAAGAAAAACTTCATCTTTACAGAGCTGTGCATAATCCTTTGAATAATGTCCTCTATCTGGTTCTTTATAATGCAGTTCCTTTTGTCATCTTTTCCATGCTTTAAAAAAGTATATTTCTACACTGTGTCTATTTATGGCAAAGTTCCCACAGCCTAGAAGTCAGTGAGCTTTAACTCTTTTTTTTTTTTTTAAAGGGGAAGGGAGGGAGGAATCTAAGTTAAATATAATGTGCAATTTTCCTTTAAAACAGTAAACAATATTTTTACAATACTTAGCAACAACTAGTATTTATCATAACATCTCTACAGGAAGAGTTCACTAGTAGCTGATAATAAAACTCAGCAAAATTCAGTTGAAACATTCCAGTTAATGCTTATTTTCTAGGAGAGATTATTTACAAATAGAGAAATTTAGGAGGTGGGAAATCATGAAAAATGGCAGTTTTTGGTATTAGGTAGATTCTATTAGATTTAATGAACAATGGACAGTTTTTGAAGTTTTCCCCTTTTGAGTGTGCAGACATGTTTTCCTGCCTTAAGGGGTTAAAACATCAACAATCAAGTGCCTGGTATTTGTAGCCACTCAAGATCAGCACACATCTGAACTCACCTGTCTTCAAATATAGTCATCACCCTGACTTGGTTCGCTTCTCTAAACATCTTTGGTAGAAAGTAGCCAGACCCCATGTGGTTAGATGAAGTCATCTTTTGTAAGATTGACACTTTTCCTATTTCTGCCAAAACCTTTCTTTGTTTCATTAGCACCTCGAAGTTTGCTGCTTGCTTTTTAAATGCTCTTCCTCCAAGAGTCCAAGGCACTGGGGCTTATAGCAAATAGTTTTCTCTCCTAAATGGTTTATTACTTCATCAAGCAAACAGCAAAAGCAGTTAAGAGAGGTCCCCCCCCCCCACCGCCCAGCTGTTTTTCAGGGATGTTATTTTGCTTTTTATTGAGCAAATTTAGTCTTCAGGTTAGATTTGATTTCTTTTACACATAGCTCTTCTAAGGTCACAATAAAAACCGAGCACTTTATTTTTTTATGGGTTACAGTGGTGTGTGGAAATGTTCTTACTGGACTTTAAAGGGAACATCTAAAAAGATAACGGGCTATTTCTGTTGTACTTGTATTTTCTCTTTGGATCAAATCTCAACTTAGTGAGAGGCCACATTCCTACAGGGTTAGGGATACCATCCTTTACACAAATGAAGTTGTATAAAAACAAAAACCAGTGTCAGACTGTATATGTAATCTAAAAGCATTTTTTTAAAAAACCCTCTAAAGTGTATAAACCTAAGTAATACCTATTTTATTAAAAGTAAGTCATCACAACCTATAATACAGGATGATACAGGTTTAATTGGTCTAAACTTGATTAAATTCTGTGGGAGTACATCAGTTAAAATGTTTTGAAGGTATATGAAAAAAGTCTGTAAAGATACATGGAAATAGGAATGGACTGTTTTTAATTGTTTAAAAATTACTTTGTGTTTATAACATAAAACTGGTTTAGGTGAGAAAGGTGACAAAGGGTTCTGTGAGAGGTCTGATATTGAAATCAAACCGAGCCACCCCATTGCCTGAAGCATTCTTTAGGGTAATTTATAATCTATTCTTCCAAAGAGCAGCTTCTGAAACTTGAATGCACAATAACCTTGATTTGATTTCAGAATTGTCACTATTGGAATTATGATCTATTTTAACTTTCTTGGTAAATTCAGTATTGTTATTAGTGACAAGGTAAACATGCACATGAATAGTTCACAGCCCTTGGTAGGACATGCTGTCAGTGGGCAGGAGCACCTTGATTTTAGAGGACTGTGAAACACCATCATCAATACATGTCTTAAAATTTTCTCATGAAAAGTTTCATGTAACTTAAAAGATTCAGCCTTCTTTTTGTTTAAAAAAAGTTCCAGATATTTAAAAAATCCAGTGTACAGTTAAGTGGGCATCTAAAAACCTTAAGAATAATTTTTCTTTCCAGGTGAGGAGTAGGTAGGAAAAAAAATGTAAGTCTTTTGAGTAGTAAAAACCAAGTTGGTAAAATTCAACATAGAAGTCTACATTACTACCTCTGAACCTGAAATAAATTGTTTTATTAGCCAAGCATAGGTTCTGCTGCTCTTCAGAGTTGGTGCAAAAACCTAAGCGCAAAGCGATCCAATTTTGAAATTATCTATAGTAAAATGAAGGGTATCCCTGGCCAAGCAGATCACTCTGCCAGGGACCTGTCTGCACCGCCCTCAGTAGCAGGGTGCCCTTGTCTGTGTTGTTTACTCATCAGCAGCTCCAAGTCAGCTGTCCAGGTGTCCTTCCCTGCCCTGAAGAAGCCATATGGAGCCAGAGGCGAAAGCAGTGAGAGAAGGGACAGCACTAGTATTGTCTGGCAGTAGGTGTTTCCAGGAACAGAACAGAGGAAAGAGAGCTGCCAGAATACAGTCCCAGGAGGAGAAAAACCGAAACCTTGATCCCAACCAAAACCCAAGTTAAAAGAAAACTCCACTAAGGAGTAAAACACTAGAAGTAGAATCTTCTTTTGATTCACTTGTTGCACACATAAAACTTAAAAAAAAATTAATAGCTATTTCCATCCTTGGAGAAACATAAAAAGAAGAGCCTGTTGTCAGACAAGCCACTGTACTAGGGATAGAAACAACATGTGGTCTCCCCTTGGGCCCTGCTCAGCTTGGCATAACCGGTGTATAAAGATGGCTGCTCTTTCAGGACAGCACGCCAGAAGCAGCAGTTCAGGGCAGACGCCCGCAAGAAATCCCAGCAAATCCCATCCTAACAACAACAAAGGCTGCTTTAGGGAAAACTCAAAATAAAATCTCAGGGAAGAATATTTAGATAACTTGATTCATATCCTTAGTAATTTTACCCTGCAAATATGGGTGATTCTTAGACCCTAAAGCAGTGAGTAGAAGACTATGGAAATGACTGCATCCTGGAGCACAGCAGTGCCCAGCCGTCTGCGCTCACAGGTTACCCACAGTGCTGCGCATGCGCAAATTACAATGCACATATGTTAAAGGTCACTTCCTAAGCATCAGAATGTCAAGCACACAAAACAGAGTGATTTGAAAGAAATAAAAAATACTTTTAAAGAAGCCAGGCTATTAAAAATGCAAAACGGTATACTTATTGCTCGGTGACCACATGAATATACTGAATGAACAATAGCCTGGAGATTTGGAGTGAAAAGGTGTACCTACTTCCTCTCGTGATGCAGTTCTTTCTTGGAGAGTAGGTTATAGTGATGCCTTGCATACACAGTACAATTTTAGTTTATTGAATTGTTTAGCTTCTTTTTCCCACTTCATTGGAGTCACTTTCTCCTGTGGGGCAGTGCCAACATGTCTGCAGCTTGCAGTGGTAATCCTCACAGCAGGCACAGACTTTCATTACAAGATGTGTTCATTTCTAATTGCTGGGATGGGCAATTTTTATTCTTAAGAGTAGCTCTAAGATTGCATTTTATTCTTTTTTTTTTTTGTACTGGGGATCGAACTTGGGACCTGGCGCTTGTAAGGCAGATAGCGAAACCACTGAGCTACATCCCTGGCCCTGCATTTTATTCTTAGCAGTCAAATGTATCATGGTAAATTGATAAGACGGTATATACTTCTCTTACATACAAAGGAAAAGTCACAGAAAAAAGTATAGAGAGTGAAGCATATGGACGTATAGTG